ATATTTAAAGAATTTGCCACTAACGATTCAAACGCGAGTTTTTTGGGCAGTGTAGAGTAGCGCTTGTTGTTTGTCGTTTCTCTGATCACAAATGCAGACATGGTTTTATGTTTACGCGGCGAGATGCAACGCACCGCGTAAAAAGACAGTATAAGTCATTATAATCAGTAATTATGTCCCCACTGGATGCAACAAATGCCTAGTTTATAATGGGTTTTACTGGTTTTGTCTCGTTGCGCCGGGACATGGCAGGCATCACAGTATGGTAGGGGCGTAACATTTCCGTCACACGCTTGAGGTATTCGGCCAATCACAATGCACTGGATAGCTGGCCAATCACAGCACACCTCGCTTTTCAGAACGATGAGCTTTGTAAAAATCTACGCGTTTCAGAAAGGCGGGGCATAGAGGAGAAACAATGATGTACAGTATGTGGAAAATAATGTGTTTTTTTTTTACCTTAAACCGCATAAACACATTTCATTACACCAAATACACAAAATAATGTTCTTTTTTAGCAACGTCATATGACCCCATTAGTTGAGTCATTCTCCCTGCACTTGCAATTTACTTATATTTGTGTAAATATGCATATTTTGCAATCAATGTAAAATATACAAATTCTGTAAAATCAGCATATTTAAATCAATAGTTTTATATTTATTATGTCACTGGAGAGGCTTCATGAGATTGTAGTTCATTCCCTCATTAAAGTTATTAAGTACAGATTTTGTCTTTTTGTCTGATACGTTTTTGCTTCAAATCAAAGTTTGTTGTGATTCACTTCACAACTGGTTGGTTTGTTTGCATCATCTCCCTTTATAAACTTGATTTATTTTAAATAATTTGTCTCTGTTTGTCTCTGTCCACTGAGTCTAGTGAATTCCTCTATTTACTGTCACATGTCTTTTAAAGGTCAGTAGATGATTTTCACTTTCCGCTCCAATTAGCTTAATGAACCGGTCTTATAAAACAGGAAGAAACCGCTCAGGGGTTTATTTGGTGCCATTATTAATTCAGTGGTCTGTTTTCTCAGTGGTTCCTGTTGAAGTTTCAGGGGAACCTTTGAAATCCCATTATCCGTTGGATGCGAGTTGTTCAGTGAAACACTTCTCCAGGAGTTCGCAGAGATGTGCTCGGTCACAGCCAGAAACAGTCCTTAATCCAGCAGTCATTACAGCTGATCATTGGCACCAATCACATATGTAGCTTTTTATTGTCTCAGTTTTTGCAGACATTTGATATTCCATTTAACAGCAATAAAAAGTGATCATATAAGACGAAAGAACGGCTTGCTTGGAGGTTTCAGTTTTATCATTTGTAGCTGTGCCAACTGGAAGTAATGCGTTATTTTCACTCCTGTTGATGGTATGCCCAAAGTCTATAAATATGGTAACACATTATATCCACGTCATATTATATGTCATGCATTTATGGCCAAATTGTGCAGCCCTACAAAAATGCACAGCAAACCAATTTTTTTTTTTTTTACATTTTAAAAATCACAATTTTTTATCAGAAAAATCTCAATTAGATTTTTTCCCCCCAAATCGTGCAGTACATGGTTATATATGTTAATATATAAAAAATGGCAATGATACCCATTTTAATTCAGCTAACTAAATACAATGGGTCAAAGACATGTTCACAATAAAGAACATGAAAAACATAAAGTAATTTAAAACAAGTCAAATTCTTAGAAATATTATCTTTCCATTCATGTTCATTTAATTTGATTTTGCAAAACGTCTATACCATTTTCAAGAAAAGTGTCAATTGAATGTCTGTGAAATTGTAAAACGTAATAAATATCATGTTCATAAATTTCATTGTTTTTGGGCAGTCGCATGCACCACATGCCATGAGACACTTTTTAAGACCAGTGTAGAAATCGAATAAACACCCATCTGTCATTTAACACGGTACGTTAAATACAGATGCAGCACATGTGCTCTCTGGGTGACTGTTTGTCACAAAGTTGCGCTTCATACATAAAGTGAACTCATTGTATGGCAGCGCTGGAATCTGCCTTCAAATATGTGCTGGTGTAAACAGATGGATGTTTCTCTGAGGGCAGTTTCCTTTAGTTCTTTTGCTATGGTAAATATGGTCGTCTCAGGTTAATGTTTATGAAACAAATGTTTGTGTATTAAAGATTTGAGTCTTGGAATCACTTATGTGACGTCACGATTTGGCCTGGATATTGGACGTCTATGTGGCGTTATAAAAAACGTTTCGTCCTGCAAAGTGTTACGATACAGTATGCACCAGGTTATATTGTCACATTCTCTTTAAGTATTTTTTTTTTTTTTTGCAGCGTTGTGATGAACAGTTGGTCTTGTTTGCAAAGCTCCATTGAAATGTTAATGGTAGCTTAATTTGTGCTGCTCTAAAAAGTGTTTAACTCTGATAAGCCGCCTGGATCTCTCTTTGAGCCCATGCAATCTCTTGATTCAGTAGCTCAGCTGTTTTCAAACCAGTGAAACCTTACCAGTAATAAGGTTAGTAGCAGTGTAGTGTGTGCAAACGCTGCAGTATTTTATTTGTTATTGCTGTATTATATTGCAGGGTCACATATGCAATTGCTCTGTACACTTCAACAGTTGTAATACGATATCATATTTTTCAGCGTCTTTTTTAAAAACGTATTTCAACAAATAATACACCTAAAATGTAAAAATATGAAATCTACTGTATTGCAAAGTTTGCATTCTTTTAATTAAGCTAAGAGGTCACAGCCATCTTCTATTCGTCACGTCGGATTTTCAAGTTCAGAATTTTGTGGGCTAAAAAGGCTTCAATACATAGCGATATATGAAGCACAACTCGCATTCACTTGAGCGAAATCTTCACTCAAGGTTGTGCGGATTCCTATTAAAATTACTGGATTTGGCCATCGAAAATTGGCTAAGCAAGGTGATTCAGTCATTCAGAACAGCAGTTCACTGATTTGAGTTTTTGCATTGTGTTTTAGGTTTTATTTGATTTATTACTAAATGTTATTTTTTAATTTAGTTTATTAGTAAACACTCTTCATTACTAAGTTTTTTTTATCACCATTATAATTTTTTTTCTTGCATTTTGTGCAGTTTTTCCAAGATAACTTCAATCCTGCCGCACTCATTTAGTTTTTTTATTTTATTTTAACATATACTATAATTCCGTAATATGTCATTAGATAGTCGTTTAAAATGTAACCTTAAACATTTTCTTATTTAGATGCTAGTTCGTAGCCTGTTGTGTAGCTAACTACTTGTTTAAAAGATGGTAACAATTTTAAATTCCGTGTTTATATATTAAATAAAATGGCAGTGTTACATATTTTAATATAATTGTTAATTAAATGTAATGGATCAGTGACATGTCCACAATAAAGAAGTTTTAAATCTAGTTTAAAACGTGTCAAGTTCTTAGAAATGTACTCTCATTCATGTTTGTTTCATATGATTTTGCAAAACGTTTATACCATTTTCTGTTGTGTAGCCGAGTACTATAAAGAAATGGTAAATACTTAATCCTTAAATCGTTGAATTTAATTTATAGCTTTTTTTTAACCGTTTGCACCATTTTCGACATGAGAAGCTAGCAGTGCTTGAGTTGTCTGGAATAAAAGAATAACTGTAAAAAATAACCAGTAGTTACTAGCTACCTGGAGTTTAAGTGGTTCACAAGATTTACATCTAACATCATCTTTGTTGAAAGAAGGCGTCAGACGTGCTGTAGCAGACGGCCGTTTTGCGTTACCATCACAATGCACAGTCAGTCAAGAGGTCAGGAAGGAGGATTGTGGCAGCTGCCATCTGTCTCTGCAGCGTCAGACGCTGCCATCTCTTCCTTCCGTTTCGTCCGATTGTCAGAAGTTAGGTGTTAAAGCTATTAGGGTTGAGGAAATGACGAGTTTACAGTATCTTTCTCCTTGTGTTTTCCTCTCAGGTGTTGCGGATGGCGTCGGGGGCTGGAGGGATTACGGCGTGGATCCGTCGCAGTTCTCCGCCACCCTGATGAGGACGTGCGAACGGCTCGTGAAGGAGGGCCGCTTCACTCCCAGCAGCCCCGTGGGCATCCTGACCTCTGGCTACTATGAACTCCTGCAGAACAAAGTACCGCTGCTGGGTAAGATCATATCCACACACGCACACCAAACCATACGGTGAGTCACACACACACTGCCGCTTTTACAGAATAAATAAATTAAACAGCTGCAGGATGACTCCCAGTCCTTGTGTCGTGATGTACAGTATTGATTCTTGTCCAAGTTTTTTTCCCAATGTAATGTCAATAAAAAAAAAGATTGACTGTTATGAGTCGCAAATTTCAGATATCTCATGCAGTGCTATTTTAGTATTATTTATTTTCTATTATAGAATTTATTAATATTTTGAATGAGCTTTTATTTTTACATTTTTAGTAATTTTATTAGTTTTTTCTATTTAGCTTTTATTTTTGTTGTAGTTTTAGTATTTGTGGTATTTCAACTTTAATATTTTATTTCTTTTTTTTTTCTTTTTTTCATCTAATATTTATATATTATTTTATTTCAATTAACAAATTTTTTCTTCATTTAGTTAACAATAATTACACATTAGTGATTGATTTTGAATGTTCTATATAGGCAACAACTAAACTCCCAATTAGGACTGTCACAATTCCTCGATTAAAATCGAGTGCTCGATTATAAAAAAATCCTCGATTGCATTTTGCCCGTGATGATTAACCGGCAAAATACCGGAAGTGGCGCATTCCACAGACGAGAATCCATGAAAACCATTATTAGACCGTCTTCCAAGGCTGCACAAAATATTAAAACCATTTAAAAATGTGAATTCACAAAGGCTGCGATTCAATTAAATAAATATATGCACTGCGGGTTTAATATGTGCTTTATTTACATGCGTGTAGGTTACATGCATCTCAGAGCGGCTCCGTTCACAGTAAATGCTGCTCCACACAAACAGTCATCATTTGCATGCGCGGAGCGTCTCAAACTTCATCTCTGCATATGCTGTGAGTCTGAGTTGCTTATAATGCACATCTGGGAACAATGTGCACCATTCTATCAGATTTATAAGGTAAATCATTTATAAACCTACACCAACACAGGAGAATACAACATCTTTCTAAATATGCTCACTCTTCATAATGACTTCAGAATAAAAGCTTAAACCTTCGCTCTGAATTTGCATGTTTTGATGTGCACATGTTCTTGTTCAGGAAATGACAGCGGCTCTAGCATTTCTATCATAAAGAAGTGGCCAAATATTAAAGATTAAGTGGACATTTGAATTAAATGTTGTTTAGTCAATAAGTATTTGACTCCGCTTCGTCCACGGTGAAAGCCGATCCGGCGATCCACAGCGCAAAGTTGAAGTATTTCCTCAGCGACCAGCACGGATCAGCTCCAGGCATGATGAAGCAGATATCGTCCTCTTTTGGAAGACCAAACAAAGTAGTTTCGCTTTCACAACGAAACACACAGCGTCTTCACGACATGGCGGCGGCGGCAACAATACTACAGCGAGAATAAAAGTTACACCTTCTTTCTTTGCATGAACATTTGGGCGGCCCACACAGTGACGTAGACATGTGGGGGCGTGTTAGAACGAGCCGTTTTAGGTAGGCGTGGTTGACTCTTAACTTTTATAAAGAATATCTCTTTGAATTTGAGACTTTAGTCTTTGCAACTTTACAGATCTTCTTTATGCACCAAGAGCTTGTAACACTCCAAAGAGTGAAAAAAGGAAAAAGGAAAAATTTAAATTGCATCATATGACCCCTTAAAATAATTTAAATATCTTAAAATACTGACCGTTTGTTTATTGTTTATCATTGTATTTGAAACAATCCTCTTTTTGTAAAGTGTTTGGCATAACAAAATGGAACAATTTTCACTGAGCATGTCTTAATAAACAGCAGAAATGATATTATTTATTAAGGTTACTTTAACTAACAAATGGTCCAGAGGCGTTTTTAACCTTGCATGTTTCTGATGTAACACTAAGAGCAAAGACTGAGAGTAAAGTTAGATTCTCAAACAAGGCATTGGATTACCAAGCATGCAACCGGTCGTCTTTTTCCTGAAACCTGACATCACGGGCTGTCAGAAATGTCACTCTGAGTTGTTTACCTCTTTAAAAAGTGACCTGCTTTTATTTTGGGAAGGCACGTGGAGCGATAAAGGTCTGTGGGTGACCGTTCTAAGACAAGGTCGCTTGGACTACAAGGCTTTGGCCAAGGATCGAGGGAAGGAAAGATTGTGACAAACTGGGAGGCCATCAGCATACAGCCTAATTAGAGATGCCTGTATTTTTAGTGTTCAGCCTAAAATGGGATCAGTGGGGAAATGCTACTTTAAAAAAAAAAATAGGTTAACAAAATGGTTTAAATTTGTTAACGTTAATTAACGTGTTAGGTGTCATGAACTAACAATGAACAGTACTTTTACAGCATTTCTGAATTTTTATTTTCTACATACACTACTGTTCAAAAGTTTGGGTCAGTAATATTTTTTTATGTTTTTGAAAGATGTATCTTTTGTTCACCAAGGCTCCATTCATTTGACCAGAAATACAGTAAAAGCAGTAATATTGTGAAATAATATTACAATTTAAAATAACTGTTTTCTGTTTGAATATATTGTAAAAATGTAATTTATTCCTGTGATCAAAGCTGAATTTTCAGCATTATTACGTCAGTCTTCAGTGTCACATGATCCTTCAGAAATCATTCTAATATACTGCTTTGCTGCTCAAGAAACATTTCTGATTATCAATGTTGAAAACAGTTGTGCTGCTTTATATTTTTGTAGAAACGGTGAACGTTTTTTTCAGGATTGTTTGAGTAGAATGTTCAAAAGAACATAATTTATTTTAAAATCGAAATCTTATGTCTCATTATAAATATCTTTACTGTCACTTTTGATCAATTTAAAACGTCCTTGATGAATAAAAGTATTAATTTCCTTAAAGGGGTCATATGATGCTATTTTAAAGATCATTATTTTGTGTATTTGGTGTAACAGAATATGTTGACATGCTTTAATGTTCAAAAAACACATTATTTTTCAAATCCTGTACATTATTGTAGGTCCTCTATGCCCCGCCTCTCTCACTTCTAGGGAGTAGCACAGCTTGTATAGTCATTCTGGATCGTCGGAGTCACAGGATACACACCTGTAACCTGGGAGACTCTGGCTTCTTGGTGGTTCGGGGTGGAGAGGTGGTCCATCGGTCAGACGAGCAGCAACACTACTTCAACACACCCTTCCAGCTGTCCATAGCCCCGCCGGGGGCAGAGGGCGTGGTGTTGAGTGACAGGTGGGTCGGTGACACTCGCTGATAGCGGATACACTCACTGCAGTATCACAGATGGTTGTGTGTCACAGATCAGTGTCACAGACATCTTGCGCGTGGGGCCATGTGGCTTTTACATCAATTAATAGTGTAAGATGCACCTACTGTAGGAGCCGACACGTTGATCTGGTGCTTACGCAGGCCATGTGAGTTTGATTTATCACGTTCAACCCTCTTACTTCCATCATTCCCTGTCCTGCCTTTCTCTACTGGATCTATTCATTTATTAAAAATACATTAAATATGCAATTAATACATACAGTGAATATACCTCTGCTGTAGCAAGTGTTTTTAATTTATTTTAAAAAAGCACGTTTTTGTAGCAAGTTTTTAATTTATTAAAAAATATATATATATTTAATATACAAACATCTTTTTTGGGGGGGGGGTATTGTAGTAAGATTATATCTTTATTGGGTCATTTGGCATAATTATTGTTTCAGCAGTTAAGAAGTTTTGGTAAAATATTATAAACAATTGTAAAACATTTGCTAAATCAAAGTCATGTGTTGCAACCAATGTGCAGAAACATGCTGAAAGGAAAAGAAAAACAGGAAAAACTTTGTCAGGGTCAATAAATCAAGTAAAGTGGAGATTGTAAAATGACACACAACCTCCAAAAACTTTGAGTTAATAAAAAAAATAAGATAAATAATTTAAAATAGTTAATTGCGTGCATAAACATATATTTAAGGTGTAAGGTAAATGTTAACACTTGATCATGGTTACACCATTTTTTTTTTTTTGAGTCTTAAATTGTATGATTTTTTTAAACCATTTGAAAAATTTCTGAATTTCTAGGAATATTGAATATGCATTATTTTTCCTTTTTCAGTGATAGCAGGTATTAGTTGAGATTCTCCTGAACCCTGTAGAAGTGAGAACAGCCAAAGAGTTCCGCCTAAAGCACTGTGTGTGAGTGTTGGCCCAAATATTGAATGTCAAGGCCTTGTGATTCTAGTTCCTCACTGCTGCAGTCTTGCCAGAGGCACACATCCAAACATGCACGCGCAAATACCTAAAACCTCCAATCAAAGAGAGAGGGCGGTGAAGCAAACCCATTCCTTTCAGCCAGTCAGCATTGTGATGAACACTTGTTTAAATTTTTTTTTTTTTCAAGTCCCAGTAGAGGGCATGATTATTTTAAGCTCCACATGTCCTGCTAAATTTATGTGGGACCTTTAGTTTATGTCGTCCGGAGTCAGTTATGGCAGACCTCCACACAAAACTCTCATCTAACTTTCTCATATGCAGCAGGGAATCTGACCTGAGTGTTGGGTTCTAAGTGTGCCTCACTTGCACTAAAATATCCACTTACCTGTAGTTTTACATGAATTTTTAATTCATTTTGGAGCCTCCTTTGAGTTCCATGTTAACCTGGAACTCAAAAATGTAAATGTTGAATTTTGAAATCTAGACAGAGTTCAGGTGTTGCAAGTCTTCTGAGATAGAAATGACTGATCATTTTAGTCATTTAGCAGATGCTTTTTTTATCCAAAGAAAATTCATTTGAGAAACAATTTATCATAAAGAGGCAACAATATTCTTAGTACCAGGTTCCTCTGTTGTTGAGGTTAGAGTTAACTGCTAGTGGAAGAGGTGTCTTCTTGAACTTTGCGATAGTCTAAGCACATCATGTAGAAGTTTGTTCCATCACAGAGGAACAGAGATAGTGAAGCTTCTAGAAAGTGACTTTGTACTTTGTTGTTTGAACAGTCCTCTAACCTTAAGTAGACTTACAAGTTTCACGATGCTGTCTATGTTGCTTAGCCACTTGTACCGGTAAGCCATTTAAAAAAATTAATACCGTGTGCGTAATTCAAACCGGTTTACCATTTGAACTGGTATATTGCCCAGCAGTACTTGAATCCGATGCTAAATCTGTGTAGGGAATAAATTTGCCTCATGTGTGCCTTTTGAGATGACTGTAGTTAATCTGTGGGATTTTGCCGTGCAAAGGTAAATGTGACTGCACCTTTAGTAAAAAATGTATATGTCCCCTTTTTGCCTTCTTAAATGTGACCTATAATCAGAGCGCCAATACTTACCCAATGCACTAAGACAGATTAAACTAAAACTCAAAGAATTTTGAGTTTGAAGAGGCCAGCCTGGATTCTAAGAAAACAACCTGACTATTGGATTTGGTCCCGAGGTCATGTTGGGTCTGGACGAGTTCTCTTAACCCCAAGTGTCCATTACCCTCCGTTTAGGTCAGGCTGATCTCTGCCCTGTTACCCTCTTTGTGCTACTGCTTGAGTTTCAACCCTGATCAAGTGTCTTAGTCTAATTTAGTGGACTAGATCATTGTCTTCCCATTAGCATTTCTACTGGGGCTGCACGATAAATCGAAATGGAATCGAGATCGCGATTCGACAGAAGCTGCGTTTGTCATGCGTATCTTTCAGTGAAGCACGGTTCTGTGATCAGCAGTAAATCTCCATCCAAAGGCCAGAGGGCGCTCTCGCGCTGAAACTCCAAATACGCCTCGCAGAAGAAACCCAGAAAATGATCACTGAAAAATCGCTGCAGCTGAATAAACAGAAGATTCAACAGCTTTCATTAATTCAACGTGACTAATAAACACACGAATAC